GGGGGGGGGGGGGGGCCCTCGAAGTGTTTTTTTGGCCGATTGCACCAGTGGTACCTTGCTGGGGAGCTGGGGGGGGTTGCCCAGGGATGGTGACTTTACAGAGATGGTGTCAAAGAACTGCGAAGGGCAAGTGAGGAGCTTGTGCTGCCAAAGCAGCAGCCGGCAACACGTCTGGCTTGGGGCGCTGGCCCGAGGGTTGGGGTGCTCCCAGTCCCTCACCAGTTCCCCAACCATCTGCTTCCCCCCAAACTGCGAGCTTGCCACACCCCCAGGGTGTCTGTCTGGTGCCACAGGCTCCTCCTGGGGACCGGAGACGTGGCCGGTGGCTGTGCTCTCCTGCTCTCCCTGCCCTGCCGTCGGGGCAGCGGCTGTGGCGTCTCGCCGTGCGACAGCTTTTGGCTCCATCTCGGTGCTGCGGTGAAGAGCTGGTGGTGATGCCACCCATCAGTGTTGCATCTTCCCAACTGCCTTTTCCCAGCGAGATCTCAGATCTCCCCCTTTCTCGGGGGATTTCTGGGAGGTGGGTGCTTCTTCCAACCAGCGATTTTACCGAGGTGTGAATAATAACTTGCTGGTACAGTGACAAGTGGAAGAGCTGAGGGACAGCTCAGAAAGCCTTTAGAAAGGGAGTGATGCTCTTTCCTGCAAAGAGGCTTTCGGTGCAGAGCGACGCTGCGGGCTGCAGCAGCGGCTCCATGAAGTTGGTAAATTGGAGTCCATAATTTTATACAAAGGTAATTACATGGTATTTCAGGTGTTATTAAAATGAAAAGCGTTTTATTACTGATTGCAATGATTGATACCAGGGGCAGTCATAAAATCCTGTGACTTATTGATTAAAGCACTGAAACGACTGCTACTGAGAAGCAATCAAATTAGGGTTAATTTACTTCTGTAATAGAGCTGCTAGAGCTACATTGTTTTGAAATGCACAGATTATACAGTGGGGAAGATCATGTGCATGCCCTAAAACTCATTATTCTCATCTTTGTAAGGCACTCATCATTTTGAGGGGGACATGGAAATAGTTTTTTGATTGTACATCTCCGTTTCCATTAAGATAATCCTGTTTGCAGGCGTTGTGTAATTGTGCCCCTCTTACCGTTTGCATCACGATGCAGATGAAGCTCTGGGGTGGTAATGCTGGAGGCTTCTGCTGCGAGAGCGCTTTTTGGTTTTAATTTCTGTCTATCTATTAACAAAACTGTCACATCGCAGCTCCTTTTTTTTTTTTTTATGTAATCCCAGAATTTGGCGTTGGGTTTTCTGGCTGAAGCAAGCGGGCGGTTGTGGTTGGGGAAGGCAGTTGCTGGGTTTTTGCTGCCTTCGCCTTGGACCAGCGCAAGAGGCGCTGAGCGAGCACAGGACATTATTCTGGTGCCCAGGGCATTACTCTGATGCATTGAGCTGTTTTTTGGCAGGGTTTGTGGCAGTCGCTGAGCCTCTCTGGCAGTGGAGAAGTCCCCAAGGCTAGGGCGTGTGGCAGCTGCGCTCCTGTGCACGCACGACCTTGCTCAGCCGGGGAGAGGCTGGGGACATCGCGGGGACAGAGCTGCCCGGCTCCTGCCGTTGTTTTCAGGACTGTCTCCGCTCCTCTCGGTCAGTCTCTGTGAAGCACCCTGGGATGGGATGGAGCTGGACTGGGGGGCAGCCCCTGCGCCCACCGAGCTGCTCCCTACCACCCTTCCCAGTCCATCCACTGGTCCCAGTGGGCTCCAAGATCAGCCGCTCGTTTTTGAGGCTGTCAAACCATTAGATACACGCAAAGCTATGGCTAATGGATTACGTAGGCCTGAGCAAATGTAAATGAATAGAAATCCATTTAAAATTAATCTGGCATTACAATTCCTAATGGCCCCCTAGGTTTTTTCCTCCTACTGTTTTATGTTAGGGAGAACCTCTCTCATTGTGTTTGTTTATCATCGTCTCTTAAACAAAGAATAATGTTGTTCTAAATATGTTTGGAAAATAAACCACTGATGCTAGGGAAATAAAGATGATTGTAGTATTAAAAAAATGCATCAAAATGATACCTACTGGCTTCTAGCTTTGGAGAAGCCAAGTCCTTTAGCCTTCCTGCTTTTGAAAATTGGTTTTACTGGGGGAGCTTATTTAGCTCCTCGGACACATGCCAGCCCCCCTCTTTAGCCAGGGTGGTGTCAGGGCAGACAGGACTCTGAGCAGAAGAATTTGGCTGGGGGTGAGCTGCTGGGGTGACCCCTCACCATTCCCCACCCTGCTGTGGGTGCCACTAAGGCAAAGCGGAGTCCTGGGGCGAGGGGTCCTGCTACCAGCAGGGGCTTCATCTGCATAGGGGCCTTGCTTGAAGTGACAGAAACTTCTGTCCAGAAACTTCTGTCCGAGTTACTGGCATCTCGGTTGCAGGCATCGCCTTCAGGGTTTCCAGCCATTGCTGGATAGCAACAGGCTTAATTTTTCCCTCCTTTGAGCCACGGCGTGGCTGTGCTGAGCTGCAGCACGAGGTCTTCCTCCTCCTTTTCCCTGGGGCTGGGGGGTCTCAGCAGACCCCTCTGCTTGGGGACGGTGGTGGGGATGGATCTCTCCAGGCAGATCCCCACCAGCGAAGGCAGGACTGGTCTGGGGCAGGTCGTGCATGCTTTTTCAACGTCCTATGTTAGTGTTTGAGGGAGAAGGGTCTCCTGGAAAAGAGCAGGTTTATCACTCAGCGGTGTGAATCCCGTTTTTCTCAGTGCTGCTGAAGGAGCTGCCTTGTGCTGTAATTTTGGGAACGGCGCAGAAACCTCAACAGAAATTAAAACTGTGCAGTCAACGATACTTCTGTCTCATCATAATTGATAACTAACAGGAGGAATGTCTTGCCAAAGCTGAGAAACCAAAGGACCACGTGAGCCCACCCTGTGCCCCCTCCTTGATGCTGGCCAGGCTCTATCGGGCTGCCCCACCGGTGCTCGCAGCCCCATGCTCTATCCGAGCTTTGTGGGTCCAGCAAGTTAAGATTTTTGTACTAATTGGACCTGACAGGAGAAGGACATAAAAGAAAAAAACATAAAGATGAGCCTTTTCTCCCTGGGAAGAGGTGCTAATGAGTTTCTTTGCGTTAGCAGGGGAGATGATTGCGTTAGTCAGTGGGATGAAACCACTGGGAAGAGCTTTCCCAGTGGAGTTCAGAGCAGGGCGGCTTGTGTTCGCTTTCTCTGAAGTGTATTGGGGTCTCACTTCTCTCCTGCTGTCCCAAGGACAGGGAGCAAACCAACATCCTCCTGCCCAAAGCGTACTTAGGCACTGCGGGGGGAGGAGGAGGAGGGAGCCAGCCCCGATGCTTCAGCCCAGCTTTGGGCTTCCCAAGCAGGCAGCTGGGTGCGGGGAATATTGCCCCAGAAGCCTGAGCTTTGATGACCACTGCTTTGCATCAGCGTGCCCAGGGGGGCTTTTTGCTGGTTGTTACCCCGCAGAGACCTGCGGGTCCCCCCAGCCTCAGCCTCCTGGGGCGAGCGGCAGCGGCCGCGTCGCTGCTCCGGCCTTGGCCGTGCCGCAGTTAATCTGCTTGCTGGGACGGCTGCTGCGCGCTGGAGATAAAAGCTGTCACTTGTGACCCTGAGCTTTAAGGACTCTTGATTACATTCAGCCCTGTGCCTGCTCCGGGGGTGGAATCAGCGGTATATAATATGATTTTTTGCATAAGAGATTTGTTGCATCTCTGTTTTTGGTTGGTTTTTTTTTGGGGGGGGGG